AATAATAATAATAATAAAAAAAAAGCCAGCTTGAGCAATTTAGGCTCTAAACAATTCAGTGAGACTTTGTCTCTACATAAACTATAAAAGCTGGGGATGCGGCTCAGTGGTTAAGCACTCCTTAGTTCAGTCACCATGCCAAAAAAAAAAAAAAAGATCTGAGGACAACAATATTAACATTTATCCTACATGGTGGCTAAGGATTTGATATATTGGTTGTAAAGCAGATTTTAAAATAGAGGGTCGCCATCTAGTGGACACATTTGTTCATAAGAGGCAGTGGAATAAAGCATTTCAGACTCTTCAACACCTCAGGTAAGAAAGAAGATAAACTCTGATGGTTAAGATCACTAGGTCTGAGCCCTAGTTTTGTTATTTGCTGTGTATCAAAGCTTTCTGTACCTTAGACAGTTTAAACTCAAACCTTCATTAAACAAATTGTGAAGCACTCCCATGAACCAGACTCCAAAGCAGAGACAGTCTCCTCCTACAGTTTAATAATGGTATATTGGAGTGGGGCTGGGACTACGTTACTGAATAGTTAGATTAGGTTAGATCTTAAGATTCCTAGTTATTCATGCTCATAAAATCTTAGGCCTAAGTACCAGTCTCAAGGATGACATTAAGATATGTCCACAGAGGGCTGGGGCTGTAGCTCAGTGGCARAGCGCTTTGCCTGGCATGCRTGAGGCACTGGGTTTGATCCTCAGCACCACATAAAAATAAATAAAGACATTCTGTTCATCTATAGAGCTGCTACAATGCTAAGTTCATCATTCTTTTTCTAGTAATGGTTGGCCTGTAAGGAACCTTTGATATATATATGTGCTTAAATGAATGGATAACATTATCTTAGTATTACCTTCACCCAGYTCTTCTGCATAGTACATACTCAATAAATACTCGATATTAAAAAATTAAATGACTATGTAAATAGGTAATCCTGGATTTCAAACAATTTAGATACTTCTAATTTTACAAGTTAAAAACTTATATGTACTTATTGAATACTGCAAACTACTATATATAATCCTGTCAATTTGAAGGAAAAGGATCCTTGAAATGGCATAAACAATTCCTATGTTTGCAAGAAATTTACACCAATAAAAGGGGACAGAGTTGTCACAATCTTTGTACAAACTTGATATGTATTCTTCCCCTGTATTTATCATCTTTTAAAAAGCTCTATTAAAACAGATGAACTCTAGATAAGGCAGAGGGGTTGGAGGGGAAGGGAGGGGAGACGGGATAATTAGTGATGGTGAAATGTGATGATCATTACTATCCAAAGTACATGTATGAAGACACGAATTACTATGTACACAGAGATATGAAAAATTGTGCTTTATATATGTAATAAGTATTGTAATGCATTCTGCTGTCATATATAAATAAAAAAAACATATTTAAAAAAACCCAGAAACTTAGGGGCTTGAGGTTGTGGCTCAGCGATAGAGCGCTTGCCTAGCAAATGTGAGGCCCTGGGTT